AGACCAGCTTGTTTCCCTGCTGGGGCCCCTTGCTAACTCTCTCTGATTCTATACGTAACCTGGGTGTCTATTTGGATAGCTCCTTTAAGCTCGATAAGCAAGTGTCATCTGTAGTTAAATCTGTTTTTTTTCAAGTGCGCAAGATTTCTAAAGCTAAGCATTATATACCACACAGGTACCTGGAAAAACTTATCCACGCTTTTGTGACCTCCAGGTTAGATTATTGCAATTCTCTCTACTGTGGTCTCCAAGCCTTCTCCCTTCGAAGGCTGCAACTCGTTCACAATGCTGCGGCTCGTCTTCTTACTGGAACTAGAAAATTTGACCCTATTACTCCAGCTCTTGTTGATCTACACTGGTTACCAATCAAATATCGCATTGAGTTTAAAGTCTTGCTACTCACTTTTAAAATCTGAATAAAATTGCGCCCAGCTACCTCACTGACCTCCTCAATCTGCACACTCCTTGTCGTGCATTAAGATCATCAGGTCAATTACTCCTGGCCCAACCTAAGTTTAGACTGAAGACCAGAGGCGATCGTGCCTTCAGCTGCACCCAACCTTTGGAACAGCCTCCCTGCTTCTATTTGAGCCTTGGACTCTATCCAATCCTTTAAATCAAGATTGAAAGCATATCTATTTGACTTGGCTTTCCTGACCAGTTAATACCTTTTTAAATTTTAAACTTTTAAATCTTTTAATTTTTTAATTAAATTTTATTAAATTTATTATTTTATTATTAATTTTACTGCTGTTTTTGTCTTCTTAGTGGATTTTGTATTTATCTAACTCTTCTGGTCTGTTAGTGTCTCTATCCTGTCTGTGCTTGTGCCCCATCTGTACCCTGTTATTGACTTATGTTGATTCTCCATATTACTGTGAAGCACTTTGGTGTGCCTTTGGGTTTTAAATGTGCTATATAAATAAAACTGTATTGTATTGTATTGTATAAAGGCCTGCTTTTGCTTATTTAGCTATCCAGAATAAGTGAGACAAGTAAGAAAGAGATAAGTCTGCCCAGCAGTCTTGTTGTTGCTGTTATATTAAATGGATCAGGTTAAATTAATTTAACCTGGGTAATCTCATCAGTTGTCGTTGCTTCTTTGGCAGTAAGGCCGTTCGTATTCTCCCCACGTAACCCCTCCCCTTTGAAGTCAAAGAGAGGAGAGCAAATCAGGAGTGAAAAAAAGAAAAGCTGAAGAAGAAAGAAAGAGAGCGGGCGACAGACTGAAAGGAGAAAACACAGGCACAGAGAGATGCAGCGCTTCATGTCTTTAGTCTTAATGTTGACCTAATTAAATGTTGAGGGGGGCTGCGCATTTCTTTTAGAGATACATATTTTTTTAATGACTAAAGCCATTTGCTCTGAGGAAAATTAATTGCAAATGCTTCCGTGAAAAAAAGTGAGAAACATAAACCCTGAGAGAAACCTCCGGCTGTTTGTGTTCCAATTACTGTTTTTATCCCCCAAAAAACATCTTTATGGCTTCTTTCACGCTTTATCGTTTCATAAAGAATGATGATCAAGATGGTTACACAGCAAAAAGTCAACACAAACAATCTTCCTTTAGTTTGAATATCTTAAAATAATCCAAGTGACCAACACTTGCTGAGTTTGTGATTTCCTTGCAGTGACACTGACAGTGGGTTTGGCCAAAGACAGCAGTATGTAAATGTAAATTCTCACTCATGTGCCAACACAAAGAAATACGTCTTTACTCTGCAGCCAGTAAAGATGTAAAAGAGTCAGTCTGATCAAAACTGATTAAAAATACACAAAGACAGAGAAATGATTAGATGGCATTAGATTTTAATACCATCTAATCAGAAATGGCCAACCCACCGCCTCCAGCCTGTGCCCTTTACTTGGAGTCTGAAACATAATCTTCATTCATATGAGTGTTAATTTTCTTTTAAAAAAACCCCTCTACTTAAGGCTTTTCAATTTGATTGAAAAGCCTTTTTATTCAGTGATTTGAAGGGGAATAGACGCACTCTCCAGACCCTCGTGTAGTTCTGACTTATCAGACTGCAGATGGCAGGATACTCCCTCAATAGCGAGAGGGAGACAAGAATGAGTGAGCCATGGCTTCCGCCGTTACTGGAGCTGGAGCATTCACTCTATAAATGATGGACATAACTTCTGAATTGTAAAGCTAATGTGAAGTGCCTTAAACCTCTGTTCCTTCTTGCATCCCGTCCAGGTGAAGACTTCTGATAGTAACAAGAAGGCTGCAGAAAAAAACCCCAAAACCCTTCCTGGTGACTTTATAGTCTCAGTCACTAGTTTAAAGTGTGACAGAGTTCAATTTAAGATTTTTATTTTGTAATTAAACGTCTTCATAGGAGTGTGATGGATCCGACCTCCACTAACGGTTTCAAAACACCAAGACAAAACGGCTCGAGGCGTCTCAACGGGACGCTGCTAACCAATGGGTTACACTTTATAGGCTCAGCTAACTGATGACACAGCTCAGGACCAATCACGGTTCTCCACCACAGCGACGTCTGACTCAGCGGGTTGTGGATGAGAAAAGTCGTCCACTTCTGTGACAGACGGTTTAAGGTTCTGTGTTACTCTGTATTTTTCCTAT